CCCACCCAGTGTTGGGGTTCCCCATCGCATCGACCCCTCCTCTCCCCGCACCTTCAGGGCCGGGGCTGTGCCCGTCCTGCTCCCACAGGGTCAGGAACAGGGCCCTGCCACTGCATGGACAGCTCCAAACAACTCCCTCATCCCTACATCAGCGGCCTGAAATTATAATAAATTAATTTGTCACCTTAGTGGCTTAAACAACCTCACCTTGGTCTGTTTCCATGGTTTAGAGTCTGAACAGGGGCCAGATGGCCTCTCCTTATCTCATGCTGGGAGCCCTGGCAGCTTCCCAGAGCCTTCCCCAGCCCATCAGGGCACACAAAACACTTTGTTCCAACTGTTTATTCAGAGGTGAACGGAACCCAGGTACCATTCTACGAGCAAGCTGGAACTTAGGCTGGATTAAAAAAGCATAAAAAGCATCTCTTTGATTCCCTAGAGAAAGCACTTGCTGAGTAAGAGTTCATGAAGCAGCATCTGGGGGCTTGGGGCTGGAGTTGGGCTGAACCCACTTTACTCTTCCTTGAGGCCCAGCTTGTTCTTCACCCTCTGGGCCATGTAGGTGGCTGTGAGGACAGAGCAGGTGACGGTGACGAGGAACAGGGCAGAGAAGTCGTGAGCCAGGCCCCGCTGGAGGGAGGAGTAGATCTCCCTCCTGGACTCATAGTCCAGCACCACGGCCTCGATCTGCGCCAGCGTGCAGAGCACCAGGAACACGTGGAAGATCTGGTGGCTCTGCCCCACAAAGTGACACTTCCCGGGGAACCACTTCTCAGGGTAGGGATGGGAGAAGAAGAAGGCCCCGACGAGGAAGAAGAGCACCTGGCACTTGTGGTAGAGCAGGGCGGGGTCGGGGCGCGCCGAGGTGCAGATGCGATGGATCACGGGGCTGATGTCCAGCAGGTAGGCCAGGCCCGAGGGCAGCTCCTGGCACAGCCGGCCGGGCAGCGGGCAGGACGGGTGGAAGCGGAACTTGGCGTAGCAGGAGCCGGCGCAGGACAGCCAGGCCAGCGCCGCCGCCAGCGGCAGGAAGAATCCCTGCACGCGCCGGTGCCAGCTGGGCTCGATGGCGTAGTAGAAGTGGCTCAGGGCGCTGCCGTACTGGTACACGGCCACCCCCACGTAGTCCATGAAGAAGAAGCTGTAGTGCCAGAACTCGGACTTGGCCTGCAGCAGGTGGGCGAGGCTGCTGAAGGTCAAGTAGGTGACGGCGGCGGCCAGGATGATGAGCAGGGGCCGGGCGTGCGCGTCCTGCCCGAAGTCCACGCGCTGCCAGAGGTGCTGGAAGCGCAGCAGCAGCCCCAGGGCGGCCGCCAGGTGTGACCAGACGTTGATGGCCTCGTTGTGCTGCTGGAAGAGCGTGGAGAAGTAGTAACGCCAGGTCTGGCGCACGGGCCGGTAGCCGCCGTGGATGTAGGGCTTCCAGAACACCGGCGGCACCTCGGCGCTGCTCACCGTGCCCGGGGACAGCGGCCCCAGCAGCTGAGGGAGCTGCCTGACATTGATAAAGAGCCGGCTGAGCTTCTCCGTCACCACCGTGGCCATGATGAGGCCAAACTCGGCGTCCTCGCTGAGCAAAATTCCCTTTGGGAAGGAGAGGAAGTTTTGCTGTGGGGTTAGGTAGGGATTTTAACATAAAAATCAACAAGTGGGGGATGTTCAGATGCTCTGCTTGGGGTTTTCCCTTGTAGAATCCCCAACTACAGTGAGAGAAAGGAGATTTAAGAACCCCTGAGGTGCCTCTGGGAGCCCTGAGGACATGAATCTGGGGTTAAATGACAATAATGATCACAGCAGTGCCTGGCTCATCCCCTTCCCTGTTTGGGAACTGCTAAACAAACCAAGCATCCTAAACAAACCTCCCACTCCAGATTCCCCCTCCTGTAAACTCTTCACAGTTTCTGTCCTTACAAATACCAACAATCAGCTCCTGATTTTCCAAGCAGCTTCCCACAACGTGACCTGAGTGAGTCCATCCTGTGGCACCACCAAGGTTCAGCAGAATAATCTTTGTGAGCAGGAATTTCCACATTTATGTTTCCTTACCCAGCTAAAGGCAGCCCTGCCAGCTTGTTTGGCCTTTTCATAAGAACTTATTAAACAGAACATTCCCAAAATGAGATTCTCCCCTGACTTTACCTGCTCTTGCTCAGAGAAGTCCTGAAGAAAACCTGATTCACGTCCAGCTCCAGTGCTGAGCTACGCCTGAACCCCTGGCAAGTGCCCTCATTTCAGGGGCAGGAAAAGTTCTTTAAAGTTTGGGAACAGGAGGAGGTGGGGATGGGACTGTTTGTTTTTAAAAAAACTCTGTAATTTCCTCATCAAAGTCAGGCTGTAACTCATTCCTGCCTGGATCCAAGGGGATTCAGAACAGAGCGGGCTCTTTGCTGCTCCGCTTCCCTCCCAAGCGCCCTTTGCCCACCTGGCCTGGTTTCGAGAGGCCCCACACCCCGGCTGGGGCAGCACCTCCCAAAGGGCGATCCCGACCCTCCCCTGCCCCTCAAACCCTCCCGAAAAGCTGCGACTTTCTCGGGCCCACGGGGGAAAGTTCACCCGGTGAAACACCGAAACAGCCCCGAGCGCTGCCGCGGACAGAGCAGAACCAGCAGAACCTCCCAGGTTCGGCTGTTCTGACCTGAATTCCACGGGCACTGCCCGGAGAACTTGCCTCAGTGCCAGGGCAGGGGAGGGGGCTCAGCTCCGGCTCCCAGGAGAGGAATTCCTGCGGGAAAGGCGGATGATGAAGGGGATGATGATGTCGGAAGCAGCGGGGAGCAGCCAAGCACGAGGCAGGAAAGGGAGCGGTGTTTACTTCAACTCCTCCAAAACTTGTCGGAGCAGGATTTAATTTGCCGAGTTCTTCCCAGCTACCGAGCCTTGAGCAACGCTCCGTTATGAAGGGAGCGCATCCTGGAAATCCTCGTACTCCAAATAACACCCTCCACCTCCCCACGAGCTGTCGGGAGCTCTGCCTGGCGTTTCCTCTGCCCAGCAGCATCCACCCCTCCCGCTGAATTTTTCTGTGATGATAAAGACTCGCCCCCGGCTGTTTACATCCCTGCCTGCTCTCGCCTCACAGCGGCACCCAACCTCCCAAAGCCTCTCAGAGCCTCCCAGAGCCTCCCAGAGCCCTCCCAGAGCCTCCCAGAGCACGGGCAGCTTTCGTTTTCAAACCACCACGGCTTTCCTGCAGCTCCGATCAGCCCCTGAGCCCCGCAGAGCAGCGGCTCCAGCCCTGCCAAACCTTCCAGGCAGCCCAGGGTGGTTCTCCCTCTCCCGGGATGTTTCCCCCCGCGGGTGAGGATGAGGATGAGGAAGGCTTTGAGCCCTTTCCCTCTCGGTGTCCCCCGGGACTCCCAGCCCCGCCCAGGCACCTGCAGAACGGACCCGTCCGGGCTGAACCGCGGCCGCTCCGGGCCCGCCCCGA